GATCTCAATCACAGCCCTACTTTCCTTACACTTGGATTCCTGCTGTAGAATGACTAGTTTTTCTGACTCTATGTTCCATCTCCCTCTAATCCATCTTACATATTTTTTTTCAGATAAAAATAATAATTTATAGGACACTGCCTTGCACATAGTAAACACTTGACACTAGAAGGACCAGGTACATCAATTGATGTAATTTTTTTAAAAAATAATTTTACTTTGAAATAAAATTTCTCTCCCTACTATCTCTATTGTCTTTGCCTTATGGATAAAACAAAATGGCATCCTGTCAATTGACAAATAGTCCTCCTAAGTATTCTGAAATTCTGGTCTTTCTATTAATAAACATTTATTGTTATTGTTATTTATCAGTGTTATTAGCCTCAGTTTCCTTATCAATAAAGGAAAGTGTTGAGCAAGGAAAAAAAAAGACTACTTTCACTGCCATGTTCAATCACCTTCCCTGGCTATCACCCTACCTATGGTATAAAGCCCAACTCTTCCTCTGGATATTTATAGCCTTTTGTAGGGTCTGTTGATGTGTCACTACTATGATTTATTTCCTAGTGTCTCTCTAGTTCTTTCTTGACCCCTTCTGATTATGTGTGTATGTATATGTGTGTATACATATGTATATGTATACATATACACACACATATATATAGATATGATTTTGCTTCTCAGAATTTTATAACTGCAAGTGCTAACCTTTCTCACTCTGAAGAATGTAAATGAATTAATACGCCTGTCCCAGAAAATGTATGCATATACATATTTATATGTAGCTATATGAATACGTGTATTCATATATATAAGCCTCTTGGCTTCTTTCCAGTCTCAGAGAAAACTCTATAGAAAGGCTTTCTATAGAAAGCCTTTTCCAAACCCTCTTAAATCTCACCTCTCCTCTGTTTACCATTTCTTATTCATGTTGGCCACAGCTTATTTGTACTCCCTTGTTTGCATACTGTCACCTCCATAATATTGGCAGCTCCTGTCTTTTGTCTTTCTTTGTAAATCCACTGCTGGGCATAGGCCTCGAACACAGTGGGTGCTTTAAACATGCTTATTGACTGACTAACCAATACATAGTTATCTAGGACATGTTAGAATCTTTCTGTACTAGAAGCATATTCTCCCCTCTTTATGCAATCTGAATTAGAGTTTTACATGGAGAATCCAAAGGAGGGGTGAAAGAGAGCAAATGCAACCATAAATGCCCCTAAAAGGCTTCTAATACCACTCTTGAGAATGGAATCTCATAAAACCTTTCTTCCTGACTGGAGCACAATGGTAATGTACTTCTGTGACTTCCTATAAAACATCTATACAATTTTCAGCATAATATATGAAAAAATAAGGAATATTATAGCTAGAAAAGACCTTAGAGAACAGCTAAGTGATAAACAATTCCTACTATGTGCTGAGCACTGAAGATGCAAAAACAAAAAATCCAACAGTCCTTACCCCCAAGGAGTTTCATTCTATTAGCAGAGAGGCACCTGATTGAACCTTCTCACTCCATAAATGAGGACATTAAGTCCCAGAGAGAGAAAATACTTTGCCTAAGGTTTTATTTATATGATGACATCATATAATTACTTAATTTTTATGTGCATCCAAAATAAATGAAACCTTAAGGATAATTCTAGTCCAAACCAATCTTTAACTCTTTTCTCCCCCACCCCTCCTCCACTGATAAGGGAACAGAGGTCCAGAGAATCACTTACCAAGATCGCATTTAGTCCTATATTGACATGTCACTATTTAATTTTGATTGTGTATATCTTGCCTCACCAAATAGATGACAAACTCTAGGATAACAGCTTTGATTTCTTCATAATCCTACATACAGTCTACAATATAGTCAATATTTGGTAAATATTGTTTTGTTTTTTCTTTTAAGTCTTTTAAATGTTGAGTAGGCTTTCATCACCCTCCAAAGATCTGTGTTTACTTAGGGAATTTCTAGTAATTAGCTTACAGACACCATAAGTACAAATTAAACTATTAGCTCAAATCTGTAGGTTGGGATCTTCAAAGTTAATCAAACTCAGAGGTATCAAACTCAACCTCAAAACACTCTCAGATGCAGTCACAACGAGATTAAAATGTAACTGGAAAATATTTAACAAAATAAATTAAAATGCAATATAACATAGATAGCGTAAATTTGTGGTTTAAGTCACAATCCAGCCCACAGGCTTCTTTCAGGAGGGTTTGTCGTTCAGTCATTTTGTTTCAGTCATGTCCAACTCCTTGTGATCCCATTTGAGGTTTTCTTGGAAAAGGTACTGGAGTAGTTTGCCATTTCCTTACCCAGCTCATTTTACAGATGAGGAAACTGCGGCAAACCTGGTTAAGTGACTTGCCCAGGGTTGTATAGCTGGTCTAATATGTGTCTGAGGCCAGATTTGAACCCAGACAGATAGGCTTTCCTGACTCCAGGCCCCATGCTCTATCCATTTCGACACCTAGCTGCTCCAAGGTTTAGCTGCCTTCCCCCTCCCCCCCAATTTCTATTTGAGTTCAACACCACTGGCATATCTCATAGGGAAAGCCTAAAATATGATACAATATCTAGAGAGAAAGAACTAATTAATAGTGGTATGTATTCCTGGACAAGTGAGCTGATTAGGATGCTCAGTTCAACAAGTGGCATAAACATACCAGGGACTGCAGAACTGATTTCAGTTTCTGGGGAAAGTAGCCAGAATGATGGATTATCAGTGTCTAATTCCTGGGTGGGAAAAGCCCTGCATTACTGCTCTGTGATCAAAGGGATTACTAGCAGTGCTAAATGTCCCTTGTTATATTGGAGTTAGAAAAGTAAAGACCTAATGGATTTTTCCATGAAATTCTCTAGAGTCATTTAGCCCATGGGGCCTTTGATTTAACAATGTATCAACAAATATCTCCATATTGTGAGGTATTCTGGGTTTTCCCCAAGGTTGCTACTAGATTTGTTCTTGTTCTTTTTGTTTTGTTTTTTCCAAATTGCAGCTAGACATGCAAAGCTCAGCTCTAGTATGTTTTCCTATAACAGGCAACTCCAATCAGCTTTACGTGGTCCATCTCCAATCTGGTTTCTCATTCCAAGATGCACTGTCCTAAATCTGCCAACTGTCCCTGTTTACCCCAAATATTCTTTCAAAAAAAATTAGCCTGAGGTCCCCTCCCATATGATAGGGGACGGGAAGTCACTGGTCATCATGCATATATACATTTATATGTACCAATTGGTAAAACCTAAACTTAAGTTTGGAGCATATCTTTTAATATAAATGAACTCAATAAATGTATACTCCCAAAGGCATGGCATCTTCTAACCCCTACCCCAACCTAAACCAAGTTTCTTGGTACAAATCCAAGCTGTCCCCAAAGTCTTTGACCAATTTTCAGCTATTCAAAGACAGTGAGTATCTTCCAGAATCTAAATCCAAGGCTCTGTTGACTTCACCACCTAGTGAAAAACAGCACTAATACTTTTGGGACACCTTGTATGTGTATATTCTGAAAGCAATATTTTATGCCAGTTTTTCACCTTAGTGCTGTTTGCATCTCATCAATACAAATTGGGCCATAAAATGTAAGTATAGGTAAATCTCTTCTTGATTTCAGCAACATTTGTTTTTCAGAATGACAACTTGGCATGGTGGCTAGAGGCTGGGTACTGGGGCCAGGAAGAGCTAGGTTCAAGTTCTTAACCATACCACAAAAATTTCCCCAAATTAGAGGCAAATGCTGATTAGTATTGTTGAAGAGGGTTTCCACTCTGGTGAAATCACAAGCCTGGGTTCCTTCATACAAATACGTATGTATAAGAAAAGCTGATTAACAAAATCCTCGGCAATAATGAAGACTTAGACAATGTGCCATGAAATGACTCATCCAGAGAGGGCAAAATGAGTTTGTAATAAGAAAAAAGAGCGTCAGAAAGGTCCTCTTTACTTAAAAGAGAGAATATTTTGTTACTCACCAGCATTGGAAAATGTCAGCAGCTTGAGTTTAAGGGGGAAAAAAAGTAATTTATTAGGACACCGTTGGTCCCCAAAATAAAAGAACAAAGACCTCTGAAGACCTCAGGAGATCCCATTTCCTGTGCTTGTTCTGCAGGCAGGAATAGGCCTCAGTTTCCTCACTTACAAAATGAAAGGGTTGGACTTAAAGCTCTCAAATTGTGTGGGCCTAAATCAGGAGTTCTTAACCACGTTTGTGTCTTGCACAACTTTGTCAGTCAGAACTCTATGGATCCTTTCTCAGGCTGCTTTTTTTTTTAATGCATAAAATAAAAGGATTACAAAGAGGTAGGGAGTGAATGAACTTTTTCAGATGTATCTATAAACACACATATATACGTTATATATGTATATGTGTATATATATATGTATATATATGTATATATATATACATATATATATAAAAACATACACACATATGATACAAAAAAAATAAGTTCATTGTTTCCAGCTTAAGACCCTGTTTCCCAAATGGGTGACTGGGGGGGCAGGGGTGACTCTGAGGTGAAAATGAGCTAAAGGATTTGGGAATGCTTTTGAGCCCAGGGAAAACTCAAGTTTGAGGCATGCCCCCATCTCTCTAGTCATTTACCTCAAAGAGAGTATAATAGTATATGTGCTGTAGCACTAGCCAGGCCTTTATAGGACACATTTCCATAGGTTCCCGCATTAAGAGCCAGAACGCACTTCAGAGGCCAGCTAGGTGAACCCTCTGGTTTTACAAACGAGCAAACTGAGGTCCAGAGACTGGCCCCTGATAGAACTCATTTTAAGCATCAGAGACAGGATTCGAACCCAAGTCTTCTAACTGCAGCGGGTTCGGGCACCAGTCCGCCAGGAGTCACTCACCAACTTGTGGCTGGTGGGTGGCTGTTCTCCAGCGTTTTGGTCCAGGGCTTGTACCAGCTGATCTGCTCCGCGGCTTTCCCCCAGAACCTCTCGGGGTCGGACACCGAGGCTACGAAGTGTTTCTTATACTCACTGGCACCGCCGGCGGTGCCGCTGCCTGAGGTCAGGGAGCGGTGGCCTCCACCAATGCCTCGAGTGCCCCGGGGCGCGGGGGCCAGGTAAGCCCGGCGCGCTGCGGCCGCTCCCCTAGCCACAGCCGAGCCTTGCAGGGGAGCCCCGAGCCCCCCCGCGCCCGTGACCTTCCGACACTGCAGCCAGGAGGGCTTCATGCCTGCCCCTCACCCCAAGGTCAAAGTCTGAAGTCTGGGCAAGTGGGGAGAGAATGGGGTGGCTAACTGTTAGAGCAGTTGCCCAGATTCTGTCCGACCCCTTCAAGGCGTCCACTGACGTCCGGGGAGGGGGGGGTGGGGGCAAAACTGCTAGTCTGTGCTTTCTACTTTGTGGGACCTGGGAGACTGACAAATTCCTAAAGTTGAGTGGTTTTGTTTTGTTGGGGCGTTGGGGGGAGGGCGGGGAGCGTGGCAGATCGAATTCTAAAGTTGGTGAGAAAAGCTGAGCTGGATCGAAAGAGGAATAAACAGGTGTATTTTTTTAAGCTTTAAAAAAAATTGGTAACTTTCAAGATATATTTTATCGTTCATTAGTAATATTGACGCCTTTTTTTTTAAATAGTCTCTTCTGCATTCAGCCGCCCAGTTCCCCCACTTTGGAAGTGAATTCTCCCCTGTATCAAAACAGTTAACTGAAAATAAACGGATACTGTGACCCGTGTAGGTAACATTCTGCCAGCTGGAAACACTTGAGATGAATCTGTTAAAATCTGAGTTCCAACGCAAAGCTTCAAAAGAAATTTGAAACTACTCTCTTCCCTGTAGATTCCCCAGATTTGGAAAATAAAACAACAACAATATAAAACTTCTCCAGCTGTACAGGGCAGAGACCAGTGGGCAGGCTTTTGTCCATAAATCGAATTTTCAGCAATGAAAATTTGTTTAAGCGGAGGGGAGGTGTCGGCTACCACGTGAATCTGCCTTGTCTCTCCCCCTCTTGTGATGTCCAACTTTTATCTAACCCAACCAAGTCAAACCAAGTTTTCCAAACAAATCCTGCTCCGTAGCGCCTATTTATCCAGGTTTTCTCAACTGCTGAGTAAGAAGGAGGGAGCAAGGACAATTTGTTCAAATAATGGAAAGTAACACTATCTGTGAGAAGACCTTACCTATTGGCTACTCCCCACAGCAACCTATGCTTGGCTTCTGTTTATGTTGCCTCTAGCAAAAGGCAGAGAACTTTTGTTTGGAGTCCCTTAAAACTTCTTGCTTTGTCTAGATGTGGAAAATCAATTAGGTCCCTTCAGTCTTTAAATTACAAGAGCCTAACTTTCCTGAGCCCTCTTCTCCAAACCTGTGGTTACATGAAACAATAAAACTTAACTTTGTGTATAATAAATGACTTAAATGAAGCTTCTGCTGTGGTGAGTTGTAAAGAAGAGCAGAGCCAGCCTTCGTGATTCTGAATGAATTATTTTTCTTTATTAAGTTCATTATTGTTTTATTAATGAATCAAGCATTTCCTAATTACCAATTATGTGCCCAAACACACTGAGCTAGGGAGACAGAGAGATTCTGACAGGGGAAACAACAGCTATTCATACACGTACTGTACATACCAGATTTTTAAAATATACATGATATTTCACCTGTGCAAGGAATTCCTATTGAGGAATTCCCTCCCACGGATGCGTATCCCCTTCTACTCTGCAACAGACAGTCTCATTAGTGAAGTCTGGGAGCACTGTGGGATTTGCCCAGGGTCATAGAACCAGTACGTGTCAGAGATAGAACTTAAACCCAGATCTTTCTCATTTTGAGGTCAGTTCTGCATTCACCATGCCAAGCTGCCTTTCCACAGATTGAATAGGTACACAATAAATTCGAGGTAATGGAGTGGCAGCTGACGGGATTAGAACTTCTGTAGGAAGTAGCACTTGAGGAGCGCTTTGATACAAGAGAGGAATTCTAAGAGTGAGAATAAGGAAAAAGTGCCTTGATAGGGGGGAGGAGGGGCAGGGAAGAGAAAACAGGCTGTGTGCCTCAGAGGAATGGGGGTAGGGGGAATCTAGGCTGTAGCGTGAAGTAGCAACAGGTAGGGCCAGCTTGTCTAGATGACAGAGAGTAAAGTAAAAGTAAATCTGAAAAAAAATAATAGCATATAGCACTTTAAGGTTTGCAAAGTGCTTTACAAATATACATATACATAGCTATGCACATGTATACATATATACATGCATGTGTATATATGTTATATGTATATGTGTATACATTTAATCCTTAAATTAGTACTGTAAATTATTATTCTGTTTTACAGTTGACAAAAGGGAGGCTGACACACAACTAGTCAGTTTCTGAAATAGGATTTGTACTCAGGTCTTTCTAACTCCAAGTCTAATAATTAAACCACTACAGCCGAGCTTGTTAGAGCCAGATTGTGAAGGGCTTAAATGCTAGAGAAGCTTCTCTTTTCTCCAAGAGGCAACGCCAGTGCGGTTTGTGAGCCCTTGTGCTGTATCCTAGGGCTTCTTAAACTTTTTCCACTAGTCACCCCTTTGGTACTTCTTAAACTGTGGGTGGAGACCCCATGAGGTATCCTATGGCTGACAGATCCTAAAGACCATGAGAAACACGATAATCCTCTGTTGGATTAATCAATGAAACTGATTCTTGGTTGAATAGTTGCCTTCTTACCTGGCTATTTTATCCTTAAGAAAATCATACTGTCATATAGAAAAGGGAATATTTGGTTTATCACAACCCTCCCTTGCTCTCACCTTAGTTGAAGTACAAGATATAATCAGGGGGCAGCTAGGTGGCGCAGTGGGTAGAGCACCGGCCCTGAAGTCAGGAGGACCTGAGTTCAAATCCAGTCTCAGACCAAATGCTTAACATTTACTAGCTGTGTGACCCTGGGCAAGTCACTTAACCCTGATTGCCTTAAAAAAAAAAAAGAAAAGAAAAAATAATAAAAGATAATCTTGATGTGGCACAAATACCCATTGGTTCTTTAATGGAAGCTTAAAGAACATACTGATTGAGTCAAAAGGGATGACCTGATTGGCTGAGTGAAAAATTGGCCACCTGCCCTTGGGGGTTTTAACATAGCTAAGTCATGAAGATAGCAAGAAGCTGATGGCTTGGAGACAGTCCAAGAGAATGCCTGCAGTCGCTGAAGAACTAAGCTCTTTACTCCACTACAGTGGCACATGTCCAATTAAAAAGATCCTGAGAAGAGCAGTTCATAGTCCCTGACAGCAAAGAAGGGAAGATCTGAAGAACAGTAGGACTGTGGAGGTTGTAAACCTTTGGGACCCCAGCTGAACCACCTTCCCACATCGGGGAGCGTAGTGAGGACTCCGCAGGAGAGAAGTACCCTCTTCCCCTCCTCACACGCACCCAAGAGGAATACAGGGGTTGTTTTCCTCAATTCTTGGCTTTCTCTTTAACTCTCTTTAAGCTCACCAATTGCTCATTATTGAGCTTAGCTCCTTAAAACTTCCATGGGCATGACCCATTTTACAAGTGCATCCAGTGAGGTGTTCATCGTTGGTAAATAGATAGTCATTGTTAACATTGTTACTACATCAATACTTCCTCCTCTGTGATTTATCCCGGAGTGGATGTCCTATATCATTTTATCTGGAGTAGGGGAGGCTCAAAATCAAATCTCCATTTAGGGCTGCATGGTGCCTTGGAGGTCATCTGTTCCAATCCCCTTATTTTGTAGATGAAGAACCCAAAGCTCATACATTTATAAAGTGTCAGGGACTTAAATCCCTAATTCCTCTCCCTCCAAATCCACATACCCATTGTGAATCCTAGAAATGTTCACTATTAATTAGTTTGCTTTTTATATGTTCCAGACTTTCTTGAGTTAAAAATTATAAACTATTATTAAATAATCAATCAACAGGTATTTGTTATTATTATGTATTATATGCCAGGTACTGTACTAGCCCTGGAAATGCAGACTCAAGAGTGAAACAATCCTTTCTCTCAAAGAACTTGAGGGAAGTCAATCAAGAAATTCTAAGAGCGGAAGTGAGAAGGGAATGATTCCCAGGCGTGGGGAAACCAGCAGGACAAAGGCACATTGTGCAATCAGTACCCTAGCCCTGCTTATTTTGTTCTGTTTTTAGAGAACTCTGTGGGTAAACTAGTTATTGCGCAACCTGAAAAACTATGGGGAAATATGTTCCCATGAAAAAGAACATTTTCTCTGGAGAAGACAGTGGAAAGCATCTGCTTATCTTGTATTGCATGATCTTTGAATGTTCCAATCAAAATGCAGTGTTGTGGCCCGAGAACTATACATTCATCCAGCTCCTTACCTTTTAGGTAAGGAGACTTTCTTTTGCCTTTCCTGCTGACCCTCATTTACCTTTCAGTTCTAAACTACTTCTGATTTATCCTTTGAATTCTCAATCAGTTCCTAAGACTGCAATTTGCTCAACCATCCCCTATGTGGTTGAAGAATATGGTTATGACACCTGCTTCCATGTCCACAGGTCTGTTCTAATCTTCATAAAAATTTCCTCATTCAGTGGGGTAGCTAGGTGGTGCAGTGGATAGAGTGCCAGCCCTGAAGTCAGGAGGACCTGAGTTCAAATGCGGCCTCAGACCAAACACTTGATACTTACTAGCTGTGTGATCCTGGGCAAGTCACTTAACCCCAATTGCCTAAAAAAAAAAAATCCTCATTCAAGCTAGAAAAAAAATGCACAGTACTGAGATGATTCTTCTACAACAGAGATTAAAGATGGAATATAATGTACAGGGAATAGCAAATCAGTTTAACTTGAACATAAAGACTGTAAGAGGTAATGATATATAATCAGGATATATAAGGATGTATATGTATGTGTGGCTGTGGCTGTGTAGGTAGGTTGGAGCTAGGCTGTGAAAGTCAATACCAAATAGGTAAGTGTGTATTTGAAATGAAATCAGAATGTGCTTTAGGGATATCATTTTGACAGTTATGTAGTGGATAGATTAGAGAAGGGTGTGACTTGAGATGGAAGACCAATTAGGAAGCTACTGCAATAGTGCAGGTGAGAGGCGATGAAGTCATGGATGTCTTGGCTGGGTGACAGGAGAGAAGACAG